ACACTTATTGAAGAAGAAAACAGGTTTGCAAAGAACCTACGCTGCGGTTCTAACACAGAAGTTGTCAGTACCACTGGTGAGTCCCATAGTCCACGGCACTGTGCTAAGAATAATGGGCCAACAGTAATCACTATGAAAGGTCAGTGTCAATAAGCTAGCCATGGACAGCCATGTGGGATTTGCTCACATTTTATGAAGAAAAACAAAGAAAGCAATGCAAAAAAGTTCCCCTTGGGGCTGTGACTTCATACGACATGCCTGTTGGCTAAACTGATACTACTATTTGGGGGTAGACTGTGTTTCTCCAAAACGAACTGGTTGAAAGCAAGCCTCTCTTCTGGAGTCTCAAGTTCTACACATACGATTAACTCCTTGGAGGCATCTTTGAAGTGCAAATGTGTCATCACACATACAACAGTTTATCATCACCTCTGCTTACAGTAAACAGACATCTACCCTCTCAGAGATGAACCTGAGAATTCGCTTTCAGGGCTCCTGTCATTCATGATGCCACACCACTTTTCAGTAGACAGACTGGCTCCTTGCCTCTGCCTTCAGTCTGGTTAATTCTACATTGCTCGGTACCTTACAGACCCAGCAACTAAATGGATGGCTTCGTATTTTTGAAAGGTGAATGACCTTTAATGAATTAAATGAGAGGAGGAGTGGAAGTTAGGAATGACCAAGGCAGGAGGACTTGGCTCTAGCTTCCTGGTCTTCCCACCATCCAAGGGAAGAGAAGATGGCTGCTAAGACACTGACAGAGGCTGGAGAGGAAACCATGCCTCCCCTTGCTTAGAGACTCCCAACCTCTTTCTGGTTATGAGGGCCTTTCCTTGGCCCTACAGATCTTACGTGTGTCTCCGGAATTCTGTAACCAGCATCAGAAGATCAAAGCTTCCCAGTCTGTCCTCTGGAGATAGAATACCATGTTTGCAGGAGGGAACTCAAGCGTGCCAAAGAAAGAAAAGCATGGTCATGGGGGGGTATATACAGTCAATGAATACAAGGGGAGAACTGCCTGGGATTGTAGGTATTTAAATGATGATCCTGTCTGAACTGGTATTAAAGAAAGTGTGGTTCGGTGGAAGTCAGGCAGACTTGCTTCCAGGACTCGGATCTTGGTAAAGTTATTCAAAATCATTGGGCCTTAGTTTTCCTGATGACAGGGTTGGGCCCGATGCAGACATGGGAGGCCCAGGGCATGGCCAGGTCTCCATCATCTCCCCCAGCCACCAAAGTAGTTCATCTCTTTAATATGTTGAAATTCAGATGAACAAAAACAAAAACAATAAAGAGCAAGATAATTTTAAAGGTCCCTGATCACTCCATCATTCTTAGGACTACCCCTTTGCCCCGCCCAATGCTTAAGACTTACTGTCTTAATAAAATACCTACAATAAGACCAGGGAAAAAATCAAAAGCCCCTCTAGTCTCTGGCCTCCTTCCCTTATTCCACCCCCCCCCCGTTTTTTTGTTTTTTAAAGACTTATTTATTTGACAGACAGAGATCACAAGTAGGCAGAGAGAGAGGAAGGGAAGCAGGCTTCCCGCTGAGCAGAGAGCCCAATGCGGGGCTCGATCCCAGGACCCTGGGATCATGACCTGAGCCGAAGGCAGAGGCTTTAACCCACTGAGCCACCCAGGTGCCCTATTTCCCTATTTTAAAACCTAGGGACCTGCTGGCTAGTTTTTTCCCCCAAATTTTTGCACAACCTCAGGGGGTACCATTTATAGCAAAGACACTCTCAGTGGCGCTCAGTGGTCCTGACGAAGATGCTTTCAGAGTAGAGAGGGCCCGTGTTTGAATCTCATCTCTGCCACTTGCTAGCTGCCTGGCAAGCTATTTAATGATCTCTCCAATCCTATTTCCTTCCCTGTAAAATGGAGATAATAAATTGTATTTCCAAGGACTGTAGTAAAGGTTAAATGAAACAACATATGTAAAGAATCTGGTCTTCAGGAAGCATACCAACATGAACATTAGTTCTTTAAAACCACAAAATCTATGACATTTCTCAGTTCAGAGAAAATTCATGTCTAGGATGTGTGGCCCAGATTCTGAGGACAGACCAAAAGATACTGTGAAATGTGAAACAGCTTTCATCTGCTGAGGATGGGGTAGGTGCCCCCAAAGTTGAAGGGGTCAGAATGTTGTAACCCAAGCACTACCCAATTTGAAGACTGAATTGTGGTAAGCAGCAAAAAGGAAGACCGATCAGCACGCTAATGAACTAGGGTGTGTTGGTACAACTGTTATCAAGGATCAGCAAGTGTTTAAATAGACAGGCTGTGCTCATTAAGGACATATGCCGCCAACAAATTACAGCGTGCTTAGTTCAAACTTTTTTGCCTTTTGGAGGAGTCCGAGGCCAGCCTATATTTAATTGTGCTAAGTCTTTTAGTTGACTCTTAAATTAGGAAGTGATTCATCTACACAACTTAGGCATTAGAGATTCTCAAAATATTAAAGCTGAAGCGGATTTCAGATCTCTAAGCCAATCTCCACATGTCACACCAGCGAAAAGTGAGGTCTCGGGAACACGAGAGACACGCGTGCGATCACAAAAGGTAGGGCCCATTCTGGGTCTTAGTCTCATTAACTTACTCTTTTTCTTACTAGGGGAAATCAGTCTTTAGCTTGTACTAGCAATTTAACATTAGGTATACGGATTCCTGTCTCTGCTCTGCACAATTTACATACGGCACTGGAAAACCTCTGAAGGGCTGGGTCAGGGACTGAAAGCAGCAGCTGGGCGGGGCTTTGTGGGAAGGTCTGAGGACGTTCAAGAAGGGAACGAAGAGCACAGAGTAAGGCTCTGTGGGGGACCCAACAATCTGGAACTCCAGTAGTGAAACTGGAGTCTATTAAGGAACCAAACACAGAATGATTCCCCATATCCAGGCCGTAGGACGATGATCAGCACACAGCAGGTACTTAGTACTTCTTTGTTGCATAACCAGATGATGAAGGAAGACTGAATGAATGAATGCAGGAAAGGCAGTGAGCTTCAGAGGCCAGAGAGAAGAGGGACCTCCCAGTGAGAGGAGAGAAGGAGGAGTTACCAAAGCTGTCCTCAATCTTAGCAGGAAGGACAAGACTTGTTCTTTCTCCTTCCGGAAGAGTGGAGGGAGTGAGGCTGTGGCCTTCCTGCTTCCGCCTCATGTTCCCCTTCTGAGGAAATGTGCCAATTCCCATGACACTGCTTCTGTTTCTGGCCACTCTGCTCTCAGGACAGCACATGCAAAAGGGGAAGGCATGAGGGGAGTCCCTCTCCAAGGGCAACAGACATTTCAAACTCATAATGTTACCTTATTTTAAGATGAGACTCTGCTTACATACTCTCCGTGGAGGCTACAGACCATACGGAAACCAGTGGAAAAACATTCTGGGAGGACCCTGAGATCAAGAAGCAAGTCTGATTCTAGAATAGCAGAGACAAACCTAACCTAATGAAGAATGAGGGAAAGCTGGGATTTCCTGGCCCATTTTGCAGTCACTGAAATACTCCGTCCTCTGTGGTCCTGAGCCTGGTGTGTACTGACCTGCCAGGTCTGCTACAGCTGGGCTTTGCACGTGGGGTCCGTGTGAGGCACGCCAGGGGCACAGACAGGATAGCAAGCAGTAGCTCACTCTATTTTCTCAACAGTAGGAGGTCAGTGTTAGATGATCTCATTCCTTTCAACATCTACGTCTAATAGTTTTTTTTTTTTTTTAAGATTTTATTTATTTGACAAAGAAAGAGAGATCACAAGCAGGCAGAGAGGCAGGCAGAGAAAGAGAGGGAAGCAGGCTCGCTGCTGAGCAGAGAACCCGATGCAGGGCTCGATCCCAGGACCGTGGGATCACGACCTGAGCCGAAGGCAGAGGCTTAACCCACTGAGCCACCCAGGCGCCCTTGTCTAATAGTTTTTACTTTTGTGTGCAGGATGTGGCCACTGGAACACAGTATGCACTACTACATTTTTCGAGGATAAATGGAGAAGCTATAATAAAATACTGCATCGACGCCTAAGGAAGACCTTTCTAGGTTCTTAGGATGCAAGCAACCTCCCATTCAAGAGGAACACCAACACATTGGGAGATAACAACAAAGCGCTGGCTAGTGTCTTCTCTAATGACATCTAGCAGACTAGTGGCAAAATGGCACCATGTATGTCAGGGGCTAGTGGGGAACAATGGCTTCCGTGCCGTGTTCATACGAAAGACATGTACAGGCCAAGGAGAAGATGAAATGTCTATAATGTGACCTTCATTTGACATTTGATTAAAACCAAGTTGGTGCATAATTTTTTTTCCCCCTCAAACCAGGAGAATAGGTCAGTGAAAAGAGCAATCATAGAAATGCTCTTCCTCAACTCACAGAGTGATTGGCAAGCCTTCTTAAAAACATTTTTAGCTCAGTTTTGATTCCCTAAAAAGAAATGCCACCTAAAAGAAATGTGTTAGGCACCCTCTAAATGTTTCTCCTTAAGTTGCCAACACTGGTCCTCACCCCTCAAGGCTGGCTTAGAGAGCTCAGCCTCACTCTGCTCTGTATGCCATCCAAGGGATAAACGGAATGCTAGCTGCTATTTGAAAGAAAGGGGACTACATCTGTAAGAGTTTGTAGGTTAATATTTGTAAAATACCTTGAGAACTCATAGGAAAAAAACAGCCTAGAAAACAGTGTTCTGCAATGAAATTACAGGAATGGTGGTAAAGAAACCAAACTGAAAGATTTTCCCAATAACGGGGCAGGTTAGTTCTCCTAGTATAAGTCATCTTAGCTAAGTGGCTGATTCTTCTAAAGAGACTGGCTTTTGGTAAAGAGTGAAACACACCACTGTGTCTGGGTTTAGCACGTGAAGAGCTCCCTAGAATGGTTCTCATGCTGCCTAGCTCTGAGCATCCTGATTCTTTTTTTCGGTCTTTAATTATGCTGTAGAACACCTAAGTTTTTATATAAAAGTGAGTCTGAGGAGACAGGCTGAGCAGAGCCCTACACGTGCCCACTCACCTCCCATGATTTTGGACTGGCAGTTAATGAACTCCGGCTTCCTGTCCGTGAGGTACCTCTGGCAGGTGTGGTGGAGGATCTGGAAGAAGGTGCACTTTTCAGAGGCTGTGCTGGCTACCCACTGGTCAAATGCATTTTCAAACAACAAGTCAAACTCTGCAGAATCCTGGAAAAGACAGTGAGATAACTACTGATCTCAATCCATAAAAACGGCTGCCTTCAGCTCACTCCTGACAAAAGACTAGTAAAGGCAAAAACACCTTTCAAAACTTGGCTCTTAATCACAAGGCTCACCTTTATTTGCGCCTAGATGTGTGGAAAGAAGGTCCATCTTCCTTTCCTCTGTTTATCAAGCAAACTCCCAAATCTTAAGAGTATTTAAAGATGTCCCCAGGCTAGTATCACAAAAGCCCCCTCCGCGTACCACACATGCATCTGTCAGAATTTAGACTACATGCTGCCTTCCCAATGACCTGCAAAAGGATTCCTTCAGGTTCTCAGCCCTATCAATTGATCTTGCTCCTTATTATTTTAGCACGGTAAGGAAAAGATTCTCCCTTATTATTTTAGCACATAGTTACAATTCATATTTTATTTTTCCTCATTATTGAGGTTTTGTATAGTGAGTGTGTGTGAGCAAAAGGCAAAGTACTTAAATAAATAATTCTACCTTAAAGTGTTTCTCATGTTAAATCCAAATACTTAATTTGTAAGGTGCCATCTATTTGTTGTTTCGGTGAAAAAAAAAACACACCTCATTACTGGTGTTATGAGAAGATAAATGCAGCTTTGATAAACATGGTTTTTCATATTAATAACCATGGACGTGGTATCTGAACTCTGCCCTTTGCACTTGGCTGATAAGCATACAGCAGACAGCATTTATTTCTTCATATGCGTCCCCTTACGTTTCTGCATCAAACATGATGAAAAGACCTGTAGTGCCCCACGAGGACGCAGAAATCCGAAAGTCTTAGCCACATCCCCGAGACAGAGAAACAGCTTTGTTAGATATGACTCAGACAACCACCACCACTGCCACGGCCAGCGAGAGAGTCACCGTGTGAGGAGAACACCTTTGCTCAACACGGGGCATTCACTCACCCGATTAGGATCGATGCCATTAACCTGGCGAAGCTGCTCGAGCATCCACTGGGACCTCCGCACGAACGACGTGGAGCCTTCAAACTGTTTGACCTTCGTGATGGACGCCTGGGTGGGTTTCTTGTTGGTCACTGCCAAGAAAAGACCACTCCCATCAGTGGGCACGCAGACTGGTTTTCTCATTACACCTACGTGTGTGTACACACACACACATACACACACAGAATATGAACATGTGTGTCTTTGATGAGGGGTGAACGCAAAAGAAATAGTGATATTCTCCACTCTCATGCAGTTACAATATAATTATAATTGCGAAGGCTGCTTCATTTATGTCCTCATTCCTTCAGACTAAACACAACTCAACCGAGGAACACCAAGCACTTTTAAAGGAGGCCACAAGGGCACGATGACCAGCTGCAGGGAAAGCAACACACTGGGTTGGTGGGCATTGGGTAGAGGTACTGGGGAAAGCTGCATTTGAAAGGAAGCAGAGGTTACTGGCTGCCCTCGGAAACTGCAACGCGTATTTCGAAGGGGATAGGACAGTGTAAATGTATCAGGCTTCACTGGTAAGATACGGAGTAATGCCTCACTTAAAAATGATGATTTGGCTTTAAACTATGGTCCAGTTTCAACCTAGTGTGCATCTGTTTCTGACTATATTTGGCATTCCCACACCGCCCCCCTCCCAAATTTCTGAGGTCCCCACACCTGCAGGGCCGAGACAGCTCCTTCTCCCAGCCTTACTCAGTTCTTCCTTTGCTGAGGATGGACACTGTCGCCTCTCAGACAGAGGCCAAGTGCCAGCCACTAGGAGAGAGTCACTCTGGATGTTTCTACATCTGTTTACTTCAAGACTTAGAGCCTCCAGGGCGGGGCGGTAATTAAGGGTTTTCAAAGGGCTTTCCTGAAACCTCCTGAGGCCTTGCTGTAGGAGTTGTAAAACTTCACAGAAAGGATGCTACCAAGGGAATTAGAAAAAGTGGAAAGTACTACTTGTAATGAATGTGATCCCAATAAGCTTGTGCGTAGGTGGCACATTCTTTGTTTCCAGAAACCCCGCAGGTCCTACATTTCCAGATGACCATGTGATATTCAACAGATGGCAAAAAGAATCCTTGAGGGATGAAGGACAGAAAGCATCTATCTACTCCAGTCATGGTTGCTGGTAAGAAGACTCTCCCTCACACACAGGAGAATTTAGGGCAGTTTCAGGTCGTTAGAGCAGGAACGCAGGGACCTAGAGCAGAATGAGATGTGGGTGCCTTGCCTTTGCCTCCGCTGAGAGCCCTGTGCTTCCAAGACTAAAGACCTCTTTTTATGACACTTTTCTCCCTTTGCTCCAAACCAGAATTTAGCAAACATTTAAAACATAATTTCAAATAATGCTTAGGTTTATTACTTACTATGTCAGCTATATTTGGCTAAAAGCTTCTGAACATCTCATACCAATTGCGTTTACTTTCATGGTTAAAAAGTCATCATCTCCTTAACACCTGCGATCAGTGGAAATTTTATAGTCTCCTATTCACATGCAGCCTGTCTGGCTCACGGCTCCGTGTGTAAGTCTGTTAAGTCCTCTTAGGAATAACCATTCTCCGAACTAAATTCAGGCAACAGTATCAGTCTGCACAGGGCTCTGTCTAGCCATTTAACTTAATGCATTTATTTCAGGTGTCTCTTAGGAGATCTAATAGGTTTCTCTGACACCCATGCCCTGCTCTTCTGTTTTCATGGTAGAGGAAACAACATACCTGGAATACAGGCAGGTCCTAAAATGTGCTGAAAAGATTAAAGAATTCTTTTCAATAACAGGAAAACATGGGTTCCTGTATTAGACACACACCCCTAAACACACAAAGAGGATTTCCTCCTTTGTTTATGTAAATTACATGACACTGAGGCATCCTGGGAAACATGAAGGCTTTCCTTTTAGCTTTAAAGTCGTTATGAACGCTTATTTTTACTTCTGGTCCACTTATTTCCAAGTGGTTCATAGCATTATAAAAACTCGAACACAATGCAGCATCACTGTAATTACTGGCATGTTTAGGATTGACATTTTAGCAAAGCAAGTTCCCTGGAAGTCTGTCACTGAAACGAGAAGGGCAGGAACCTCACCCACATGCAAATGCCCCACAGACCTGCTAACAAGAACCGCGCCGCAGAGCGGTCAGTGGTCATTTTCCACGAGGCACTTACAGCTCAGACATGCCCGACTCATTCTCTCTGCTTGCTTATTCTTTGCCCAGTTCTTGGAATCTCGGTAGTTTTCCTGGGCACCGAGCCCGGTTTGGTTTAATTTTTGTTTATTGTTATTATCTCCAACATCCCAGTTTCTATTTTGAAGCAGGTGCCTTAAAATTATATTATTATATACACATTATATAGAGTTAAATAAAGACTTTCCCCTTCTTGAAATCCAAAACAACCGCAGAAACACACCATTGCCAGACTTTCTGAGTTCTGTGCTTGAAGGAGCCCTGTTTTATCCCCTTTGGTGTTTTGGTGCTTCTGGGGTCCAAAGCTGATAAAAAAAAAATATGTCACTCAAATTCTGACGTTCAGTGAAAATCAGGAATCTTTCTTCTCCCTCCAAAGGCCAGCTGATTGATAGCATACCCTGCATCGGTAATATTGGAGTGCTCTCTGTCCAACTCCGTCAATACAAGACTCTGTAGTCACTATTTTGAATAACTTTAAAGGGCAGATAACCAGGGCATTTCTGTCATGCCTTTAATGTTCATGATGCCAAGGGAAACATACAGGCATTTAAAGGAGGCAGGGTAAGCATGGTACTCCCAGCTAAGACCACTCAGAACCAGCCTGGTTCCCTGGGTCTCCCCTCCAACTGCACACCAGAATCATCTGGGAGTTTTTACAACAAATACACCAAACCACATGAGTTAGAATCTCTGGAGGTGTGGCCTGGCATCCACATTTTCATCTTCCCTAGGTGATTCTAGAACGCAGGGAGTGCTGAAATCACTGCTAGTGTATTAACTTATTTCAAAAATATTTCTGGGACATTTATTAGATGGGAAACACGAAAGTCAGTTTTATGGGCAATTCAAAGACTGAATAAGATATGGTTCTAAGTCAAGAACTTGGGCGGTGGGGGGTGGGGCTATTCAGAATGATCCAGAACAGCGCTCATGCATGGCAGGAGTCATCTGAGTGAGGTGTTGGGGAAGGAGGGGGCTTTGAGGACCAGGGCAGAGTTGGGGGAAGTCAGGCAGGCTTCATGGAGCAGCCACATTCCAGCTGACAGACGATGCGCCCTCGCCCAGACTTCTATGATATCTCCCACGCTGCTTTTTCTGAGCAGCCCAGCCATTCAAAGTTAATACCGAAGACTGAACCATCTTTTATTTTTTTTAAAATTTTTTATTTTTTAAATTTCTTTTCAGTGTACCAGAATCCATTGTTTATGCACCACACCCAGTGCTCCATGAACCATCTTTTAAAACCTTCTTAATGGCATCCTAATGCTTAGAATAAAACCCAAGGCCCTTACCATGACCTGCAAAGCCCTAGATGATCTGGCTCTTGAGTACCTCTCTGTTCCCATCCCATTCCATTCTCCCTTCTGTCTACCAGGCTCCTGCCATCTTTTGCTCCAGGAAATAGCAACCCCCTTCTATCCTTCGCAAATGCTGTTCCTTTATATAAATACTCCTTCCTTCATTTTTTTTCTTTTTTTTTTATGATTGTCTCTTATCCACCATTCAGATTTCAGTTTGCATGTCAAAACCCCATAGAAAAAAACTTGGGTAATCGTTTTTCTACAGAAACTTCCCTCACCATGTTATTTCTTTCACTGAACTTTGCTCCTTGCGAAACAGGTTCATTTCAAACCTGGATAAAGTACTCAAAATTTGCTCCTCTGGAATATTTGAAAAGAATAAAACCCAAATTGCTATCATGACTATCGAGTCCTAAAACATGTAAGAGGTAGATAAATCCCCACGTGGATCTTGCAAGCTCCCTCCTACCAGTTTGTGAGGTAGGATCCTAGAAATTGACATAATAACAAGTGACATTTTCTCCAGCAATTAAAGTTTTTTTTTTTTTTTAAGATTTATTTTACAGAAAGAGAGAGAGGGAATGTGCACAAATGTGCGAGTGGGGGAAGGGACAGAAGGAGAGAGAGAGAGAGTCCCAAGCACACTCCCCACTGAGCACAGAGTCCATCATGGAGCTTGGTCTAGATCATGACCTAAGCTGAAATCAACAGTCTGATGCTTAACCGACCCAGCCTTTTAGGTGCCCTCTGGCAATTAAATTTCTTGAAAACCTTTTAAAAATACAGTTTCTGATTTTTTCTCTTGTACTTGACCACAGGTCTGTGACAGAGGCAGCATTACTGTTATCATCACTGTACTTACAGATAAGCAAACTGAGGCATGGAAAGCACAGACTTGCCAAAGTAATGCTGTTCATAAATGAGAAAACTGCAACTTACCAAATGAGCTTAGGGTTCACTGCTCTTTTCACTGAAGCTTTTTGCTGCAATGTCAAATGCCACGTTTTATTGCATGTGGGAAGCTCATTAAATAAGGGCTAACTGAATTTTTTGTTCTAATAATGATAATGCTGTTGTGATTTTGACAATATCATGAACTGTTATTCCCTTAGTATTTCCCTTTAAATAAACTTGGTTTTTCACTGAAGTTAATGAGGAATAGAGCATATTAAAGCCATAAATAGATACATGGCTCTGCCTACATTAAAAAGGAATAGAAAATATATAATTAACACATAAATGCTACGAATTCCAAATTAGAGAGTTGTCAGCGGAAAGTCTGGCATATGAGGTCCACTTGAAGGTAAAGTAGTGATAAGCAAGTGTGGACAGGTGCTAAAGCCAATCACAATACAGATGTTCCCTAGATATAATTATAAAACTTACCTGGGAATGGCTTCTCTAAGAGCACCGTGTCATAGGCATTGGGACTCACTGAGTAAGGCATGTCTTGGAGCTATCTGGGTCTAATACCACTTTTTCATTTATCCCATTACCCATTGTTTTCTGTTGGTATCAGAGGAAAACAGTAGCATGGGGCCAACCAAACCCAGGTCCTTTTGCTACCAACTCTGATAAAAAAAAAAAGTGTGGTTCTCATGGGGGCGCACCTCCTCATTAGCCTTCGTGTAGACTTTGTTTACCTCTCAGCTATAGTTAAGAAGCAGTGATAGGAATTACCATGTCTAGAATATCATTACCATCATTATTCAGGTGGTTAAGTATCTTTCCCTCATGAACTAATGACATAAAAAAGGTTTTTGGAAGAAAAAAAGAGGGACCTCCATGAAAGATTGTTCAAATACAAAATAAGAACACTTAGCTACAGTCAAAGGGTAGACACCACCAGCCTTGCTTCTTCCCAATCAGAAAATTCTATTTAACTGGAAACCAACAAGCCAGACAACAGCAAAGCACTTTCTTAGATCCAACCTGGTCTTATGGTAAGTCCGGAATTGGTGGAGGAAGGGACAAATCCTGATAAGGAAAGAAAGACAGAAATGCAAGTTGCTTGCATATTATGCAAACCAGCAGAAGGGACCTGGTCTGCCAGTGATTAACAGGCTGATCTTCCATTTCAAGGTCTAATGGTTGAAAGACTTTTTAAGGAGTTATAGCCTTCCCCTGCAATCTCATTATTCACACAGCATCACTTGTCAGTCTTTCCAAACAGGAAAATCAATTTTGCTTAAGATAAAAAATACCTAGTTTCAGTCTTAAAATATTATTTTAAAAGAAACAAATAATCATCATATAAAATTATTCCTCATCACCAATATCCTCTACCATTTCATTTTTCCTAGGTATTTTCGTATATTCACTAACATTCACACACACATTTCTTCTTTATTTTTTTTAATTTTTAAAAATTTTAAAATTTAAAAAAATTAATATATAATGTATTATTAGCCCCAGGGGTACAGATCTGTGAATTGCCAGGTTTACACTTCACAGCACTCACCACAGCACATACCTTCCCCAATGTGTACACACATTTCTTATTAAAGAAATTAAATTCCAACTGAATCATCTCACATTTTTATGTGATCATTACTATTTTTAAAAAAAGGGTGCTGAAGAACAAATCGTATCTACAATATGGCTTGATATTGAGGCTAGGTAGTTAAAATGCAGAGCTTACCACAACTTGATACCAAAAATACCTTAAAACTTCATCATATTCTTACCATGACCTTATGGTTAGGTCAAAGTTGGTGTCTCGTGGTATGCTTTAGCTCTCTGCTCTGCTGGGGTCCAATGGCCAGACATGTGGATTTCAACAAAACTGTTGGTGAGAAACAATTTGAAGCAAGGAATAAAAGTGATGTCCACACAGAATTTTATCAGGGCGGCTCTTTGTCAGAGGTGGCTGACATGAAGGTAAAAAAGAGAGAGAGAGAGAGAGAGGGAGAAATCCTCTGAAATGTGGTTCCAGAAGTAAAAGCAAAATTGAGCACACCTCCTGGATGCTGATGTGGTAAAGAACTGGGCTCACAGACCAACGTGAGAAATGATTACCTGGAACTGGTTTCTTTAATGTTCTCCCAAAACTCTAATATATGATTGTTTTAGGTGGATTTCACAGTACCTACAGAGAAATGAGTATCAGGTCTGAGGCTGCATCTGTAGTAGTATCTGGTGAGACAGCGGAATGTTTACAAAGCTGAGAAGCAAGAATATAGAGATTGTTCCCTCAAATATTTTCAGAACAAGGGAACGCCATCATTGCTATAGTTAGTGGGAAATGGAGCATGGCGCGCTCTACACAGGGTTGATCATTGACTTCCCAGAGTGTGTTCCCATTTAGGACATGGT